TGGGCTCCGGGCCGAGGGACCGGCGGGTCGACCAGCTGGCCGGGCCTTCCTTGCTTGGCTTCCGTCGACTGGCCTGAGGGACTTGTGTCCTGAGGTCGAATTGGCCTCGGCGGCCCGAGTCGCCAGTACGATGCGCTCTGTGCCGTTTCCGTTTTCTCTCTAAGATGCGTTGAGGTTTTTCATGCCGGTTATTGGGCGGGGGCGGTGATGTGTGTCTGCCTTTGCTTTTCGTTTCACTGCCACAATACAGAGGGATACTTTCAACATGAAGGGATGTGGGTGGGTGTGTGTGTGTGTGTGTGTGTGTGTGTGTGTGTGTGGGGGGGGGTGTGAGTGTCACAGAGTGATGACTCTGATTCTTGCAACTGATGCTCCCGATGGGGCCAATTCGCACTCTGCCCCCCTCCGGGGACTAGCTGGAGCCGTGCCCCTCACCTTGGCCTGTTCCAGGCTGACCGCTCTGTACTTCCTGAGTGTAAGCTCCGGGAGCTGGTCGTAAGACTGTCCCAAGCAGACTTTTCAACCTCTCACCAAGGGGTCTTGCAATCAACATAATGAACCCCAGCGAGACTTAGAAGGAACTGGAGAGACTTTCCCGGTGGTCCAGTGGTTAACACTCCGAGCACCCAGTGCTGGGGGCCAGGGTTCCGTCCCGTCCCTAGTTGGGGAACTAGATCCCGCATGCAGCAGCTAAGAGTGCCCGCATGCGTGCCCTGTCACTGAGTCGGGGCTGGCTCCCTGTGACCCCGTGCCCTGTAGCCTGCCAGGGTCCTCTGTCCATGGGATTTCCCAGGCAAGAATACTGGAGTGGGGTTGCTGTTTCCTTTTCCAGGGAATCCTCCCCACCCAGGGATCAAATCTGCCTCTCCTGCTTGGCAGGCGGGGTCTTTACCGTTGAGCCACCTGGGAAATCCCAAGAGTTTGCATGCCGCAACCAAAGACCCTGAATGCTGAGACTGAGACCCGCACAACCACACAGATCAATTAATATTATTAAGAGGAACTAGAATAAAATCAGACAGACTAGAACCATCCAGAGTGTGTCAGTCACCGCAAAGGAGCAGATTGTCTCATGGGCTCTGAGTCAACTATATATATCCAACTGGTCTCTACTAGGACGTGGCATAGGAGGTCTCAGTCGTGTCAACAGCAATAAAAAAAAGCCAAAAAACTGAGTACTGACCTAATGGGCCAAGAATCTGGGTTCCCCGCCCCCCATAAAATATATCCAATTGGTTGGCAAAAAGACCCACAAAAAGCCATCAGGGCTGTTCTTGTTCCGTCGCTGAGTCATGTCCTACTCTTTTCCGCCCTGTGGACTGCAGGCTTCCCTGTTCTTCGCTATCTCCTGGAGTTTGCTCAAATTTACTTCCATTGAGTCGGTGATGCCATCCAACCATCTTGTCCTCTGTTGCCCCCTTCTCCTGCCTTCAATCTTTCTTAGTAGCATCAGGGTCTTTCCCAATGAGTTGGCTCTTCTCATCAGGTGGCCAAAGTATTGAAGCTTCAGCTTCAACACCAGTCCTTCCAGTGAATATTCAGGACTGATTTCCTTTAGGATGGACTGGTTGGATCTTCTCGCAGTCCATGGGACTCTCAAGAATCTTCTNATCTTCTATACAACTGGCGTGCTTATAAAAGGAAGGTTATGGAAAGAGACAGCCGTGGATGGAGGAGGGCTGAGGTGATGGTCTGCAAGCAAGGAGATGCCAAGGCACCGAGGCCCCCAGCGGGCATGCAGAGGCCTGGCCCCAGCTCTGTCAGCCTCAGAGGGGCTCAGCTGCCCGCACCTCGACCTCGGGCTTCCGGCCTCCAGGACTGAAGGACCACACATTCTTGTTAAGTGATGCCACCCCGTCTGTGGTCCTTGGTTGCTGCAGCCCTCGGGGAAGTAGGAGGGGTAATTCTTTCTCCTCCTTGGGGTGGGGGTGGGGGGCGGGTGAACCCCTGACCCATGCCCAGCCTTGGCCTTTTCTCCAGCTGTCCCCTGCGGTCCCCCAAGTCCAGGTCTGTCCCGGCCAAACACGGAAATCTTCATCCAGCTTCTGGTGAGAACCTGTCTGCAGTTGGCAGAATCTTGCAGTTGAACTGAGCTCCCATTTGGCCTTCCAGCCTCTAACCTAGGCTGATAGTGGCTACACTGGCCCTCTCCAAAGAGGGGGCTGAAAACTCATTCATTCACTTCTGCCAACTTATCTGTTGCATGCCTACTGTGTGCGAGGCACAGTCCTAAGAGCTCGGGACACCCGGGTGAGGAGAGCAGAGATCCCTGCCTGGGTGGGACCCTCACCCTGGAGCCGGGGAGGAGGTGAGGCAGAGAGGCTGGGTCCCGGGGCCCCGTCTCAACGGTCAGGGTGGGCCTGGGGACAGCAGAGAAAGGCTGTGGCTGGCCGGGCTGAGAATAGGTGGCCACGAAGCGGGCAGCGGTGGGAAGACTCCTAGGGCATCTCCTCCTCCGTTCTTTTCATCCTTGCTGACCAAACGGCCGGGGCGGAGGGCGGGCGAGCCTCAGTGCCTCTACCTGTGTGACCTTGGGCGAGCCAGGAGACTTCCCTGTGCCTCAGGGGCCCGGTGTCAGGACCGAGGACAAAACTGCTTGTGAAGTGCTGGGTACAACAAACAGTCATGCTTCCCTATCTCCATTGTTATTCTCCTAAGAGACTTAATTACAGTCTTAAGGTCTCAATCCTTTTTATCTTCGAGTTGATGGGATGATTTTTCTGGCTAGGTGTTAGGAGTCGCTGTCAGGCAGAACAAAGGCCCGCATCTGGGCGTGGTGGGGTCTTCTCGGAGGAGGGCTGGCTCGCCCGGTTCCTGGAGGGAACTCAGGAAACCCACTTCTCACCCAGAAGCCTGCGCTGATGCGCTCCTCTCTGTTCTAGAACGTGACGGGGCAAGGGGTCCTGGGGTCTCAGGGTCGTTCTTCAATGAGAATGAATTGTAATTGCTCTTGATTTAGCATTTGAATCCTAAATGTTTCTTCAAAAAAAAAAAAAGTGGAGGAATTCCCTGGTAGCCAGTGGCAGACCCTCACAGGCTTAGGCGTGGTGGTTCCTCCTTTCTGGGAAAGGCAAGGAGCAGGGGGAGCCATCAGCAGCTTTGGGGATAAAGGTGTCATCCTGGGAAGGGGTCTGGGTGGGGAACGAGCATTTAGCACACTAGCAGCTCTTTGTAACTCTTCCACTGATCAACTGCTTAATAAATTATGTAATTATTTGTTTGCCCTCCCCCAAGTCAAGTCCACACTCTGCCCTGTAGACAGGAGACCAGGAGCCAGTTTCTCGCTGGACAGGTGACCAGGATTCATATATCGTATGACATCCTTTGTATTCGGAATCTAAAAAGAAATGGTACAAACTAATTTATTTTCAAAACAGAAACAGGCTCACAGACTTAGATGATGAACTGATGGTCACCAAGGAGGAAGGATGTGGGGAAGGGATGGTTAGGGAGTCTGGGATGGACATGTACACACTCCTCTTTCTTTTTAATTGTGGA